CCCCCCCCCCCAAAGAAAGGAAAACTCCAATTGTATTGAATTGGATACCATCGATTCCAGGCCTGCTTTGATTTATTGCACCTTGCCCATGCGCTGATGTAGTACAAAATTACATAAATGAAACTAAGCAAATATTCAGATGCATTAACAAACTAGTCCAACAAGAAATTTGATATACATATTCTCGCACTAACAATACCAATGAAAAGATTAGCAGCTGGAACAAGAATAGAAGTAAAAGTAGAAGTAGAAATATTAGCATGAGCATAAGCTGACTGCCGTTTACGAGAAAATCTAGGCAAGGAAAGGCACATACGCTTGTTTCACATATGACTTCCATCCAAATACTTGTTCCTTTCTCATGAGACGCAACACGCACGAACGCACCGACATGCTCAAATCAATCCACACATATGCCTTGCTTGAACATCCATCTCGCTCTCTCTCGTTCTCTTTCAATCTCAACCTCTGTCTCGATTTCTATCGCACTGCTTCCATGTATCTGCATCCGCCGATGCTCAATTCTTAATCATCTTTGAATCCTTTAATAACGTTTAACATTTCAAATATCCATCGGAGCAACAGAAGAGCGTACGACACTTGGCGAATTCTGATGGCGAATGAAAAATACACACAGGATATACACTTGATCATGCATTTTTAAAAAATGAGCTCTTCACTCTGCTGAACAGTGCGCACATGTCTCAAGAGATAAAAGCCGAAGATGCACTCCAAGTCACAAGTGATATTTCTTCAAGTAGGATCTAGGAAGATGTCCTAGGTTCAAACTCACCCTCAACGAGCAAACGACGAAATTCAGAGTAGCTCCCATTGCACTTCCATGAATTCTAGGACTTCCTCCACTCCGCACTAAACTTCACTACAGAGAACCGCGCACGACCCATTCATAGGGAAAGCTTATCACGTCCTCTCGAGTGCCAAATATTATTTCTAAAGGGCTGCGACTCGATTTCTTTATGCGATTCATTCATTTCGTATATAGCGCAACTCGTGAATTACCCGTGTCACTTGATATTTCATAAAAAATCTGTTTACATTCGCCCGTCGAGATCAGAAATAAATATATATCACATAGATTCTGAGTAAGATACGTGCGATCAATCGATCAGTGCTACCAACACTGAATTACAAATTCACTTTAAATTCTTCACATATTTTATCTTTATTTTTGTGTACTGCAACAACATTTCTTTTCGTTGTCGTTAATGGCAACACTCTCTGCTTACTAGCTCGATTTGTATTGTCGTTATACTCTCGTAAATATCATCTATTATATGGTGATATTTGAAGCAGCAGTTGCAGGATAGCTGACGTCATGCATCAACCCAGAGCGCCACTTTCTCGGAAACGAGAGCTGCGAGTGTATATCTATATACGAATAAACTATAAATATAAATTCAATGCATATGAACTCTCATTCAAATGTAGTTAGAAAGTAAAATCGTTCATCAATTAACGTTACATATTTCATGTAAACCATTCATATGCCGTCGTGCTCTGGACCGCTCATTGTGAAACTTTATTTTTTGTATCTTCTAGAGGATCAGTTAGGCGTAGGTTTCTGCTATATCGACAGCCGCCATAGGCAGCAACATGGAACATAGGTATATCCCGTTCGGACAACCGTCGTTTCTGGTAAATGACAGCGATCCCTCATTTTACTATTATCAATTAATACGGTATCTTCGAAAGTCATACGAATAATTCTCAGCATACTTTTGATTATTTGTTTTTCAACATTTACGTATATTAGGCATCAATCGGACACGGTTTTCTTTTTTCATTTTTTTATATACACCTTATACGCACATTCGCAGATGTAAATAATATTTGTATGTTTTATATAGCTATATACTCGAATACCATTTCACATAATTTTATTAACTGATTAGTGATTAACCTAATTGAATTTCGAGTACTTTCGCAGCTTCAACTAATTTTCATAATCCATTCTCGCACAATTTCTGTTATTATGGAAGAACGAAAGTATTAACAAGGAAGATACCTCGGATGTCCTCCTCCGATTTCGTTCGTTTTGAAATATGTTATTCTCCATAAAAATGTAAGAGACACGTGTTTCTTTTTATCAGCCAAAAACGGTTTTACGGAGGTGAAATCAATCCTCGAAAGTTGAACTCTCCTCGAGGACGGTTTTCGCAGTTTCGCATACTTTCAGTCGAGATATTTAAATGGGACCAATTGGAGAATAATCGTCATGGTGAACAATGAAAACTGGATTTTGGTCGGTTCCGGTGGGGTCAGTGCATAAATAAAATATCACCAATAAATAAAACTGGAGTTATCATTTTCTCGTCGTAAGTTCATCCGCTTACCGTGATTCTCTGATATGAAACTATTTTCAAAATGAGTAATCAGACCTAATCTGTCAACGATAAGTAAGCGGATGAACTTATGACGCAAAAATGATAACTCCAGTTTTATTTGTTGGTGATATTTTATTTATGCACTCACCCCACCAGAATCGACCAAAATCCATTTTTCATTATTCACCATGAGGATTATTCTTCAATTGGTCCCATTTAAATATCTCGACTGGAAATATGCGAAGCTGCGAAAGCCGTTCTCGAGGAGCCCGACTTTGAGGGATTGATTTCACCCCCCTAAACTCGTTTTTCAGCCAATAAAAAAAGCACGTATCTTAGATTTTTATGGAGAATAACATATTTCAAAACGAACGAAATCAGAGAGGGACACCCGAGGTAACTTCCTTATAAGTATAGTAAATAGTATTGTCTTTTGGATGAGAGATAGAGGACACTATAATGTAGTAAATACGCGTTTTACAAACGTGGCTTCAAGGTTCCCAAGAAAAAATACAGAGCTGGACAAGCATGGGAAGAATTTTATGTCTAACATTAAATGTTCATTTAATGACTTGTGTATCACAATTAATGTCAATGCATTTGAATTAACTGGTGCCAAACGTTTTAAAAAGTTATGCTCTCTCTGAATCTCTTTTCCGTGCCTTTCCGTCTTTTCTCGTCTTTGCCAGAGTACATTTCAAGTGAAACAAATTACAGCAAGACAATTAGCCAGCAACGTGTAATAGTGATAATCATTCGTTAATGCTTGCGCAATATATTATTGGACTTACCAAGTATATCCAGTGCTACATTTTATTATCACCATTTTGGGTTTGTAAAATCACGTTTTTTTCTCTAAGTCAATCTCATACTCGCACATAAGTATATCGTAGGAATTGTCGGCACATGTATCTGTATTAAACGACCCTATTTAATGTTTGAACGCGTCTAATTAAATGAATTCAGTTGAAACTGGTATATTTTATAATTTCGTATTTTTATACAGTATAATTGTATTTTTTTTTAGTTGAGGTTATGGCGCACCTATTTGCTCAATGTTGGAGGAATATTGAAAATCCATTGCAAAACCGTAGAAAGCCTCTTAAATACTCGTGCCAGTTTTCTTTTCCGATTCCCCCCCCCCCC